GCTGGGACCTGAGGTTCCAATGTGCTTTCAAAGACTGGGGCTGGTTCTTTGCCAAGGGTCAAGCATTCAGCTCCAGGATCTGGGGGAGAAGCAAGGCTGCCTCCCAGAGCCCAAAGCCTAGGGGATGGAGGAATCAACCTGTGATGTTCCTGGGTTGTGTTGGCGCCTCAGAGCCAGGTCAGGTCCTGGAGGGAGGAGGGCAGCGGTGCCCCACACAGGTGGAGAGGCTCCTGGCGCTTCAGCCACCTCCCCCTCACCCTGAGCAGCAGGCACCTCCCTCTCTTCCGGGCTCCGCCCTGGGGAATGGGCCAGGCTGCTGCCCTCCTCAATGCTGTCCTGCCCGGGCCCTGCAGGGGGCAGCCTTACCCCAGAAAGCAGGTCGGTGCCTCGGTGGCCACCTGCTGGGACACAGGGGGGCCTGGTCTCAACATGAGGCCCCATCTGGTCCCCAGCTGGGCCCTTGACAAGCAGGGTGTGGCTGCAGGCCGATTCCAGGCCTGAGACCCCCTTGGTGCCTATTCCCCCTTTGTGTTGGGTGAGAGCTTGGAGGATCCACAGGAGACCCTGAGTATGAGGAGGGGTGCCTGGGCCTTCCCGGCAAGGGGACTCTCACCATCCCAGAAGCCACAGCAGCGGGTACAGAGCGACAGGTGTGATGATGGACTCTTCCAGCTTTTTTTTTTTTTTTTTTGATACAGAGTCCTGCTCTGTCACCAGGCTTCAGTGCGGTGGTATGATCTTGGCTCACTGCAACCTCTGCCTCCTGGGTTCAAGTGATTCTCTTGCCTCAGCCTCCCAAGTAGCTGAGATTACAGAAGTGTGCCACCACGCCCAGCTAATTTTTGTATTTTTAGTAGAGACAGGGTTTCACCACGTGGGCCAGGCTGGTCTGGAACTCCTGACCCCAAGTGATCTGCCCACCTTGGCCCCTCAGAGTGCTGGGATTACAGGCGTGAGCCGCCACGCCCGGCCACTTCCAGCTTTTCTTATCCAGCTTCTGGGGCCCTTCCTACCTCCCTGCCTGGGTCAGGGCATCTGAGGGCTGCCCAGGGACCTGCCCTCATTTGGATGGTATCCCTGGGGCTGTTGGTGGCTGGGGCTGAGCAGAATATGTGGACTGTGTCCCTTCGAGCAGGGGCTCCGACAGAGCTGAGCACACTTCACACCCTCCATACTCCTGCAGAGTTTGAGAGAAAGTAAGTGGTTGGGGGGTGCTGCTGAGGCTTGCACGGGCACCTGTTGGGGGTGGGTATTTGGGGGACTTGGCCAAGAGCTGGTATCCATTTTTATGAACAGTCATAATGACTCTGTGGCTTCTTTCATCTAAGGATCTCAGACCAGTTTGAAAGTAAAATCCATGGTGTCAGGCATGGTTAATCACAGCCTGGAGCCTGCAGTCTGGTTTGCAGGCACACTGTTGTTCGTAGGAAGAGAGCTGAATCAGCTGCATGCCGGCCCCTGTAAATGCAGAACAATCGAACAGCGTGTTTGGGAAATTCGCTTTATGGTTGAGCTAAGTGATACTTGAATCCAGGGGACGCTAGACACTGAGGTCCCAGCTCTTTTCTCCCAGTGGGCCTGGCCGTGCGTCTCCCACAGTCACAGCTTCTCCAAGCACACCAGGGAGAGAAAGGATGCTCTGAAATGCTCCAACCATAAAAGTGAGGCGGGGGAGTTAGGGACTCAGTGGGTCCGAGCAGAAGACGGTGGACTCTTCCAGATGGGAGCTGGCAGCCAGTGCAGCTTTGCAGGGAGAGCTGGCCCCAGGTGAGAAGGCAGTGGGCCCTGAGATGCGGGAGGCCGAGCTTGGCCACAAGAGGACCAGAGAGGTACGGCTTAACGCTGGGGTCAGGGTGGCTCTCTGGGCATCTACCATGTCAAAAGCAGCTTGCAGCAGAACCTCGAAGTCCTGGGCAAGTGCAAAAACCACACCCCAGTGGGAGAGAAAATACTTTTGTATTTTAGAAGAGATGAGATTCCTAGGGTAACTTTGGGCCTGGGAAAGTGGGACTTTGAAGGCCCGATTAAGGTCAAAGCCTGATGGGGGTTCAGGACCAGGCCGGGAACAGCAGGTTGGGAAGCTGGACCCCTGCTCCTCGCAGGGCCCTAGACTCTCAAGAGAAGCCACTGCTCGGGACCAGGACCAATGCTGTGGAGGGGCACCCAGGCAGTGGGTGGTAGCGGGGGAACCTCCTTCATTGCTGAGTGCCTGTTCAAATGGTCCTGAGCCTGGTGAGGCCGGTAATAGCAGGGGGCAGGTGGATATTTGTGGCACAGTCGGGGGGTGGGAAATGGAGCAGAGAGAGACTTGCCAAATCTTGCCCAGGAAGGTCTGAGTCACCATGCTGAAGGCAGCTGCTGTCAGGGCGGAATGTCACTGAGGTGGCCAGGATGGGAGGCAGGATAATTCAGCCTCCACATTTCCAAGTACTGTTTGGACTTGGGAGGGCGAGAACGGCATCCACTGAGAGCAGGTGTGAGAGGACAGAAAGGCACAACTCTCCAAGGGAAGACTTCTATGCCTGAGAACAGCCAGCCATGGTGACAGGCCACCAGAGGAGGAAGGAAGAAACAGCAGCATTTGTTGGCCAAGGCTCCCAACCCGTGATGCTTCCTCCCTGAGGGTTTCAGACACAGGATACTCAGTTAGATCAGAATTGCAGCTAAACAACACACACACACACACACACACACACACACACACACACACACACACACACACTCTCTCTCTCTCTCTCTCTCTCTCTCTCTTTCTCTCTCTCCCTCTCTCTCTGTGCTTCAAATATCACATTTTAAAAATTCGCTAAATTTGGCAATTCTCTCTTTATTAGGTCTGTGAATGGCCCTGAGATTTTCACCATCAAAACCGAATAAACAAGACTTTTCCTGGATTCTTTGGAAAAGTTACACTGGTGGCCAGAAAGGTTTTAATTGTAGGGTTTCCCCCTTCTGTAATGCGTTCTTCAACTTTGTGAACCTGTTATTGCATGCCTGCACTTGAATCCACCCTAAGCTCTCAGTGGATTTGGCTTGAGCTGTTGATGGGGTTATTTGACACGGAATATATAGGACCCTGCTTTTCAGGGAAGGGGCCCGGGATCCCAGGTGCTTTGTTGCTTGAACACATCCTTTGTTCCAAGGAAAAATCAATTGTGTGGAGGAAAGGAGGATGAGCTGTGGGTCTCCCAGGGTCCTGGGTGACTGCTGGGTGCTGAGTGGGTCTGAAGAGGTTAAAACATGAAATCAGCATTTCTTCTGGTGGAAAATTCTCTAGGATCTAGGTGTGTGGACCTCAAGGGTGGAAGAGGCAGTGGGAGAAAACCTAAAGGGTGGAACTGAAATCAGCAGGCTGCTCTCACAAACCACTGGTCTTCTGCGGAGATTTTATTCTCGTTGTTGCCCATTTGTGGGCGGCCTGGCTACCCCACAGGCTGCTGTCTGGTTTGCTTCCTCCACTGTCTTTGAGGCCCTTGGGTGGTGGTGACCAGCACAGCCTGGCCAAAGCCCAGAGAAGCAGAAAAAGATGCCGTGCTCGAAAAACCCCCTTCCTCCTGGGCACACTGTGACAGCTATGTCTTGTGCTTGGGAGGGGCTGTACAGAACTGGGCAGAAGGAGACTTGGGCCTGACATTTTGGGTCTTTGCCCACGGAGAACCTTGGTTTTCAGACAGAAGTTCATTTGAGTGTGCAGACTTCTTTCTGCCAAAGAAGGGGCCACAACTCAGCGGCTGATGTTGAATTTGGTGGCCTTCCAAGATGGGCTCGGTGAAAGGCCAGCATGCTTTCTGTTCCTACGGCAGCAATTACCTACTTCCCCTTTCCCCAAGCTGGGATCGTGGTGGACAGGACGTCCTGTCAGCACTGCAGACTGCAGGTAGGGTGAAGGCGTTTGGAAGCTTCTAGAGTAAGTGTCAGAGACCAGATGGAGACTCCTAGCTCCATCTAGGAGGAGATGACGGCAGCTCGGGACACAATCCCAGACCCCACCTCTCTGGGCAGCTGTCTTTTCTCAGACTACTGGGTTAGGCCTCTGAATTAGTGTTCCATTAAACCAGGGCGGGCGGGTTGTGCTCTGGAAACAGCGTTGGACTGGGGTTCTGACTTTATGGGTTCTAAGAGCAGTTTCAGTCTCTTAAATCTGTGAAACCATTTCCTGTTTATGAAGCCCCTTTGGATGTAGTGATTGTGGCGTTATGACCTCCACTGAACTATTGTGAAAGCCGAGGCTTGGAGGGACCCTGCAGCTTGAACCCCACTCTTGCCGAGTCCAGCCTCAGGGCCCTTGCCCCTGCTGTTCAGCCCTCTATTCTCTGAATCCCTTCCTCTGCAAAGCAAAGTCTTTGACTCAGTTGGCCAGAGATGCCATTTCAGGCCTGACATGCTGGGATGCTGGCTCAGTGTCCCTGTGACAATGCACCGCTGATCCGGCCTTCTCGGGGAACAGCCTGGGGAGGGGGTTAATGCTGCCACTTGGCCTGTGGAGGGAAAGCCAGGAGGAAGCCTGCACCATTGCTCCCTGGGTGTGCGGTGCTGGAGGCAAAGGGAGATCTGAGGCCCATGGGTGTTTGGACAGAATATGAAACCCAGTCATGTCATGGGCTTGAACCTCCTTGATGCTTCTTCATTCTGAGGATCAATGCCAGAGAAGGGACAGGGCAGTGGGGATGGTGAATGAGTCACAGACACATCCAGGCAACTCCTGGGACCCACAGGGTGTGCTCGGTTACCTGATCCCTATACTGTCTGAGATCATGGGTGCCAGCTCATTGTCCAGGCCCTTCCTTGTTCACACTGGGGCTCTGAGGCCCAGTGTACCGGGGCCTCATGCTGTACTGGAATTTGGGGCAGAGCTGGGCCTGGAGTCCAGGTCTCTTGACCCTTAGCCCAGTGCACTTTTGACTTATGTTAGAAAAATGGTCTCAGAATACGATTCTACTTTGAAATAAAACCTGATGCAGGGCAGCCCTGGTTTATACAACCGTGAACAACTGGAAGTTCTCCCCGGCTGGGCTAGCACGGGAGGGGGCGGCCTCTTAGAGCTGCCAGGGGAGGAGAGCAACCCTGAGCCCTGGGTTCTTGTCTCTGATACAGGTCGAGTGTTTGTTGCTGTAAGCCTCACCCCATCCTGTGTTGTCCCAGGCTGCTGGGTGGGAGAGGGAAGAGGAATTCCTCCCCAAGTCTCTCTCCGCACTTCCCTTGGGTCGGGGGTTGGCTGTGCAAGTCAAAAATAAGGAAAAAGGCGGGACACTGAGGGCAGCTGAAAGACTTTCTCCTTTGACGAGCTGGTCACCTGCTCCAGGGAAGGTACGGTCCTCTCTCCACAGCCCTAGGGGTGCCTCTCTGGTCCACAGCGGCCCTTGTGATGCTCAGGTGAGAATGATGGGGGCATTTGGACCTTCGGATCAGCAGACTCCTTGCTTATTCAGTTGTCCTGAGAGAAACCTAGAATCAGCCTCAGTTACGGATTGTACAGTACAGGGGTTAAAACAAAAAAGAAAATGAGAGTATTAACTTCAGAAGCCAGCCAGCCATAGATCCCAAACAGAGAAGAGCTGTGCAAAGGGCTTGGTGCGGGCTGCCCTTGGGCCCATTTTGCAGGACAAGCATGCTGTGTCACAAACAAGGTAAACTGAGGCATAGGTATATTGAGGACTTGCCTGAGTGGGCCCAACAGGGACAGCCAGACTCTGCACTATTGTCCCAGAAAATCAAGTAGGGGATACTTAGGGGAGTTTGGGTCAGAGCCCCAGTCTTGGTCCTGATAGTCCGGTGGTTCTCAGCTGGGGGTGGTTTTGTCCCCTGACCCCCAACTCCGGGGACATTTGGCAATGTCTGTAGACATTTTTGGTTGTCAACACTGGGGCAGGGGGTGGCTACTGGCATCTGGCGGTATAGTCCAGGGACGCTGCCAAACGTTTTATAATGCACAGGGCAGCCCTGAACAGCAAACAATGACCTGGCACAAAGGGCTGAGGTTGGAAACCCTGTGACGATCCACTCCTAGGCCCCGCCGGGAGAACTGCGGAGATCGGATGGTTGTAAGGATGTCATTACTAGGGCAACTGGGGCTCTGGGGGCTGATGGTCTCCTCTTGCTCCCAGAGGCACTGCACGGGGGGCCACTGCCAGCTGCTCCTGGGCATCTTGTGAAAGTGTCCACCTTGCTGGGACAGGCATGATCCTCCATAGCTAGTCCTCCCTAGGTAATTTCAGAGAGAAGCTTATAAAACGTTTTAAGAGGCTGGCAAATTACAACTTGAGAAGCACATAAATGCTTCCATAAACGCCAGCTTTGCAAACAAGCGTGTGTGGGGGCAGAGTGAGCAGGTTGCCCAAGCCTTGGGAAAGTCCACGTTTCAAGGCGGAAGACCCAGGCTTATCTTTGGCCCTTAATTCTCAGGTTCTCCTCTCTCGGCTTGCTTAACTATCTGGCAGTATTTAGCTTTTTTCTTTGTATTCCTCCTCTGTCCAAAGAGTCTGCCATTGGCCATTTCTGTGACCTGTTCAGGGACCAGGAGGGTCAGAGCAGGTCGTTCTAGGCTCCTGATTCCACCCTCAGAGGTTCAAGATGCTGACGGCCACAAAGGAAACTGCCCTCCAGCTCTGCCCAGGGATCCAAGCATGCAGATTCCATAATGGCAGGAGTCTGTGATGATGTGTTCATTGACTAAGGGACTGGCTATGGGGCACCCCCTTCTCCCACTGCCACCCTGCTGTGCTCAGTGGGAAGACAGACCATGCTTAGCAGTGCTCACACTTACGAACCTTTGCTGACCACAGCCATAAACCATCATCAAAGACTCTCCTCCTAACCTAACCAACACTTCTGCAGGACCCAGTGGCTTGCAAAACACTTTCATTTCATATCTGTGGGAAGCAGGTGGGACAGAGGGATGATCTCTACTGTTCCGATGAAAACACTGAGTTTCCCAGGGAGGAAGTGATGTGCTCAGTATCTCTGAGAAAATCAGCCACAGAGCCAGGATTTGAACTAGGTCTCCTGTCCCTAAATTCTGGGTACTCAGACTTGACCCCAGTTGTGTGGGGAAGCAGTGGGGCAAGGAAATTGGATTTGGTGTCTGAGAGGCCTGGTTTCAGACCTAAGCTCTGCCAGTCACTTCCTGTTCACCTTGAGCAAGATATTAAACCATTCTGAGTCCCAGTTTCCACATTGGTACCAATGAGGATAACATCAGCCACCTCCTAGGATTGTTACGAGGTGTGAATGAAATAACCACTAGCCTGGTACATCACAGGTGCTCCCTGAATTTCTGTTCCTTTGCTCTCTTTTACCATCCCAGCAGCCCAGGCAGGGTGAGCAGCTATGAGGGGTGGTGGCAGTGGATGGGGGTGACAAGGGACAGACTAGGCTCCCCAGGGGAAGGCAGATGGAGAGAGCAGGAACCAAATGTCATTCGTGCAGCCACTCCCGATTTATGGGACCTGGTGCAGACTCTTTGAAGAGGCAATAAAACTCATTTTCTGCTAGGAAATGACAACAGTCGAGAGTCCTGACTTAGCAAACCAAATTCAACAATTTTTTTTTTTTATAAGTCATGGGGTTCTGGATGGGTAGCAAAAATCACATTCTAATGAGATTAGCTTTCGGGAATAGGAATAGGCTTTCCCAAGAGCAAGGGATGTGTACCATGCCAACACCCCATGGAGAGTGTATATAAATGCTCCGCAGAGGCCTTGAGTCCAGAACCCAAGCTGCTTGCTAAGCTGCAACCTTCCTCTGCTAGCACCATGGCCACCCAGATCTGCACCCCGACCTTCTCCATGGGGTCTGTCAAGGGCCTCTGTGGCGCAGCAGGCGGTATCTCTCGGGTGTCCTCCATCCGCTCTGTGGGCTCCTGCAGGGTGCCCAGCCTCGCCGGTGCTGCGGGGTGCATCTCTTCTGTTAGGTCGGGCCTCACCAGCCTTGGGAGCTGCTTGCCTGGCTCCTATCTGTCTGCTGGGTGCCACCCCTCTGGCTTTGTTGGGAGTGGGGGCTGGTTCTGCGAGGGTTCCTTCAACGGCAGCGAGAAGGAGACCATGCAGTTCCTGAACGATCGCCTGGCCAACTACCTGGAGAAGGTGCGTCAGCTGGAGCGGGAGAACGCGGAGCTGGAGAGCCGCATCCGGGAGTGGTATGAGTCTCAGATCCCGTACACTTGCCCAGACTACCAGTCCTACTTCAAGACCATCGAAGATTTCCAGCAGAAGGTAAGAAAGACCTGACCCCTCTCTAGCTGAGCAGCCTAACTCTTAGGTGGCATCTGTCTCATTCCAGAGCCTTTCCAGATGGGACAGTAGCTTTTAGGGAATTCTCCTGGTAGGGCCAACTTTTCTCTCTAGGTCTTTGGTTTCCTGGGGGACCCAGGCTTCTCTGCTGGTCTCTTGCTTGCACCTTGTTGCCAGCCATTCCTCACGCCCCCTTGCTGTCTCAGCTGTAGGAAGGGAAGGAACATGTACCAAGTCCCTACTGGATACAGCACTGTGCGTGACACCTCCCTACTCCCTGGCTTATTTATTCTTCATCTTGGAGAGATGAGTATTGCTGGACCCATTTAACAGACGTGGAAGCTGAATTTTGAGGGGTTCAGCAACTTGCTCAAGATCACACAGCCTGAGTGTTAGACGCAGAACCTGAATCCAGGTCTGCCTCACCGTGATGTATCTCACGGTGCCATCCTGAAGGCTACAGGTGCCAGGACTGATGGCCACTGACATGCTTGGGATGCCCCCGTGGGGTGCATGCTTCCCCCATACCTGGGGTGTGGCTCAGGGCTGGAAATGCTAAAGGTGGTGATACATAGTAGCATGGCCTCTGTGAGCTGAGCTATCCCTCTACCTGCCCCCACACTGCTGGGCCTCCTGTAGCTCATGGGAAGCCTCTTGTTCCCCAGATCCTGCTGACTAAGTCTGAGAATGCCAGGCTGGTTCTGCAGATTGATAATGCCAAGCTGGCTGCTGATGACTTCCGGACCAAGTGAGTGGGCCTGATCAGGGAAGGTTTGCCATGCCACTCCCTTGCCTCTGTCTCCTGCCTTTGGGAGCTGGTGAGGTGGGGATAAGGACTATCCCGCTCCTGACCGCAAGTCAGCCACTGCAGCTGGACAGCAGGGCAGGGGACCCTGCCTGTGTGGGGTTTCCCTTGCTGCAGACTCAGGAGGGTTCTTTGTGTGCAGGTACGAGACTGAGCTGTCCCTGCGGCAGCTGGTGGAGTCGGACATCAATGGCCTGCGCAGGATCCTGGATGAGCTGACCCTGTGCAAGGCCGACCTGGAGGCCCAGGTGGAGTCCCTGAAGGAGGAGCTGATGTGTCTCAAGAAGAACCACGAGGAGGTGAGGCTGGTGCCACGTGACCTCCCAGCATTTCCCATCCAGCTTAGGGAGCCACTGCTGGTCCTTGGGCTTAGAGTGTGGCAGGAACTATACATTTCCTTACATTTCATTCTCGTTTCATTTCATCCTTACAATCATCCCAAGAATTATAAACTGTGACAAGCTCCATTTTACAAACGAGAAAGCTTAGGTACAAAGAGGTTAAGTTGCTTGCCTAAGGTTGTAGAGGGTCTACACTTCTGCCCACGACACTAGATTTCTTTTCTTTTTTTTTTTTTTTTTGAGACAGAATTTCACTCTTGTTGCCCAGGCTGGAGTGCAATGGCGTGATCTCAGCTCACCACAACCTCCACCTCCTGGGTTTAAGTGATTCTCTTGTCTCAGCCACCCAAGTAGCTGGGATTATAGGCATGTGCTACCATGCCCAGCTAATTTTTGTATTTTTAGTAGAGTTTCTCCATGTTGGTCAGGCTGGTCTCGAACTCCCGACCTCAAGTGATCCACCCACCTTGGCCTCCCAAAGTGCTAGAATTATAGGTGTGAGCCACCGTGCCTGGCCAACACGAGATTTCTATTTGGGCTCTAGTGCCTGATAACGGCAAATTAATTTGCCTAGGGCTTGTATCATCTCACAAATATCCCAAAGAAGGAGGTAGGTATATACCAAGGTAGGTATACGTAGAGGGAGACCGAGGCTTAGAGAGATTTAAGTATCCTGTCTAATGCTATGCAGCTGGCAACTGAGGGAAGAGGGTTTGAATCCAGGTCAGTGAAACCTGCAATCCAGCATCCTTTTCACAACCTCATGTCACCCTCTCTCCCCTGTGCAGGAAGTCGGTGCACTCCGTTGCCAACTTGGGGACCGACTGAATGTGGAGGTGGATGCTGCCCCGCCAGTGGATCTCAACAGGATCCTGGAGGATATGAGATGCCAGTACGAGGCCCTGGTGGAGAATAACCGCAGAGATGTGGAGGCCTGGTTCAACACCCAGGTGGGGTTGGGGTGCCCTGGGACTACAGGCTCCTGGGCTGGGGTTACCTTTTGAAATAACTTGGTCTGACCATGCTCTGAGCCCTCGCATGTGTTTCAGACTGAGGAGCTGAACCAGCAGGTGCTGTCCAGCTCGGAGCAGCTGCAGTGCTGCCAGTCTGAGATCATCGAGCTGAGACGCACGGTGAACGCCCTGGAGATTGAGCTGCAGGCCCAGCACAGCATGGTGAGTGGCTCCTGCCTGCGTGGCTGGCCACAGCCTGTGGCAGGTCCCCGACCCACCAGCCTCGGCACGCAGGTTCTCATGGGGTGTGATCACAGGCCTATGCAGATGTGCAGGGCTATGGGTTTCGGGGATTCCTCCCCATGGGCAGCTCTTCCTCTTTGCCATTGCAGCGGAATTCCTTGGAATCCACCCTGGCGGAGACCGAGGCCCGCTACAGCTCCCAGCTGGCCCAGATGCAGTGCCTGATCAGCAACGTGGAGGCCCAGCTGTCTGAGATCCGCTGTGACCTGGAGCGGCAGAACCAGGAATACCAGGTGCTGCTGGACGTCAAGGCCCGGCTGGAGGGCGAGATCGCTACCTACCGCCGCCTGCTGGAGGGAGAGGATTGCAAGTGAGTGGCCCTTGGGCTGGGGGAGGGCTTGACTCAACTCCCAGTGCCATGTGGAGGGCATCAAGCCCAGAAGTGGTTGTTGCCCAGATGAAGGGGACTAAGCCAAAGCCCCTCGAGATTCTCCATCTAGTCCCAGGCTTTGGCAGTGCATAGTGGGAGAATCCAACCTAGCACACACCGCGTTTTCCACCATCTTTTCTGGTTGGCAATTTCTGCTCTTAATATCTGCAGTTCGGTCCTCTCACCCTAGGGGAATTTGGAGGCACTGAGACGGTCCGAGGCCACCCATCTCGCTCGATCCTCTAGACCTGTTTAACACGAATCTCAGCCCAATGCTCCCATGCCAAATGTACCCGGAATGATTTTGTTTCCCCAGGCTTCCTCCCCCACCTTGTGCCATGGCATGCAAGCCTGCCATTAGAGTTCCTTCTGTCCCCCCGGCGCCCTGTGCCCCGGCTGTGGCCTGCATCCCCGCTCCCCAGGCTGGTACTCAGATCCGCACCATCACCGAGGAGATCAGAGATGGGAGAGTCATCTCCTCCAGGGAGCACCTGCAGTCCCGCCCGCTGTGACAGCCCACCTGGTCCACCAGGCAGGGCCCCGACCACAGGAAGGAGGACACCCTGGGACTCCTGGCAGCTGAACGACCCTGTCCCTCTCTAGAAGGGTCCCCCTATGCTTAGCAGGTTTTTCTACCAAAACACTCCCGGTATTGTGTTTCTGGACTTCACTGTGCTTTACGCCATGCAAAACCAGGTTTCCTGGAAATTTACCCAATAAAGTGTGTTCTCCTGGCATAGCAAACTCAATTTTGGCTGACTCTGTTGATGCTCATGTGCTCGTGTGGTTCATGGGGGTGTTTGATCAGGGGCTGCAGGATAGTTGTGGGGTTTGGGTTGAGGTCTATCTTCTCCGGCTCTGAGTGGGAGGAGGTGGCAGGGTGATTCAAAGTATTTAATAACAAAGATGCCTCAGGCCCTGCTCAGTGAGAACAGACACTGACCCAGTCTGGATGGGTGCTGGCCGTAGCTCTCAGCTTGGTGCTGACCATGAGTAGATACCTTAGGGAGGCCCCAAAAGAGGCAAAGGCTCCCGAACCAGTCGTTCTCTGTAGTAGCCTGACCAGCCTCTTTCCCCTGCCCCACCCCTTCCCCCTCTTTGTTCCACTCATGCTCTGGGGCCTGAGGTCTGCACCCCTGAGAGATTTGGTAGCGATCTCTCTTTTTCTCTCAGCTTCTTCTCTGTTGCCCAGCTCCTGCCACTTTACTGCCTGACGCTGGGGATGGTTCAGGAGAGGGGGGGTCCCAGGAACAAGCAGAGAGGGCCAAACTCTAGGCAACCAGCCTGAGCCAGCCACGCCGGGGAGGGCGGTCAGGGAGAGCAGGGTGGTGAAGGTGGAGGGCCAGGCGAATCCATGTCCCAACAAGGCACACAGGACCAAACTGAAGGGTGCCAGGGACAGTAGGGTGCGGGTGGGGGCTCAGACGTGGAGTTGGGGGACAGGACAGCCAGGCTTCATTGTGGAGCAGAGTTCAGGGCCTGGATTCCACTGGCTAGGTCAGGCAGGTCTGCCCATGGGACCTGACTATTCCAGACCTGGACTCCCCTCTGATGAGAGAAGCATGGCCTGGGAGAGGTCTGAGGGCCTCACGGTTGGTTCCTTTGCCCCCTGCTTCAGTCTTCATTTGAGAACACAGGACCAGAGAGGGCACTGACTTGTCCCAGGCACAGAGCAGTGAGTGGCGAGACCTGGCGATCAACCAGCTCTTCTGGTCCTGACTCTGGAACTCTTCTCAGTAGTTTCTCTCTAGTGCTCACTTTCCTCTGGGCTCTCCTCTGGATAATGGCCAAGACCTCCATCACCTGACTTTGTGTCATGTCGTCTGCTATTTGGTGACTAACAAATAGGACTCTTCAATCACTTGCTGGGCAAGCCAGAGGCACAGCAAACACGTATCAGACCCCAGGATAAGATGTGCGTAGGTAGCATCAGAGCATCCTGCCCTGAGCCTGACTCTGTCACTCTACATGCCTGGTCAGGTCATGAGCCCTCTCTGGTCTCTGCAGGTTCATCTGTGAAATGGGGCTGCTGGGAGGCTCCAATGAGACAGTGTGTGCAGCTTCCAAAAAGTGGTAGCTATCAGTGTTGCTCTTACTACAAATGCAGAGTCCCTGGCCTCAGAGTGTCAAACAGAAACCCCCATTGCATGGGCCAAGCTCTTTGCTTTGTATCGGCAGGGTGCTGTGGTGGGGGCTGCGATGCCAGTCTTGCCCTTGGAGCTGGAGAGTGAACCCAAAGGCCTTAGCCACAGAGGATGCACCTGGCTCTGGGAATGGGGGACAGTCTGCATGGCTCTTTCCCCTGCCCCCCCTTCCCCCTCCCTGCTCCACTCATGCTCTGGGGCCTGAGGTCTGCACCCCTGCCTTTGGCCTGAGGCCGGTGGGTGACCAGGCATTCACAGAGAGCACTGCACCTCTGTGCAGAAACAGCCAAGGGTCCGGGAGTGGGCCGAGTCTTCTAATTGGGAAACAGCTGAGCTACCTTGTCACCGTGGGTGAACCACACAGGGCGTGACCTGACAGGTAATTATGTCATCAGCACCTTGCATTGTACAGCACTTTCCCTTTTTACGATCACTCTTCAGTTCACAGGACACACTCACAGCCTCATCTCATGCACACGTTCAGCCCTGAGTGGCTGTATGCTCTTTATTCCTGCATCCTTGCCTAGCTTTTAACTACATTGTCCAGTGCATCTGCATGGGTTAAGAAATGCCTCCTGTCTCAACCTCGCACAAACCCTTGACTGAGTTGCGATTGAAATCACTGACCTACGTGCAAATCAGAATTCAATGGTGTTGTGGGATAGGTGGCGGCTGGTCTAAAGTCACACAGCATGTGGCAGACTCAGGAAACTTCTCGGGTCTTTGGGCTCCTATTTCATTGATACCAAGAGAGAAAGGATAGAAAGCATTTAATACAATTTCCCCAGAGTGACTATGATGCTTTATTTCAAGGTGGTCTGGTTTTTCTGATTTTTTTTGTGCTTTCCAGATGTGCTGTCTGACTGTCTTTCTCATTCACACATACACATCAATTAATCAGCGAAGAGATAACGTGCGGAACACGGCCTACATAGCCAATCCAACCTTCAGGTTCAGGCCTATCTAGGAAGGAGCAGGGGTGGCGGGAGTGGCTGGAAAAAAGAGTGGATAACAGGCACAGTTCCCAAGGAGCTCACGTCCCGCTGTGGAGACACCTCGCCCCCACACTCCCCCACACCTGGGGAGCGGGCGTGGGCAGGGTTTCAGGTTTTGAGGAAGAGGAGAGATCACTGAGAACTGGGGTGACCAGGAAAGGCTTTCGGGCAGATTTGGATTTGATGGGCAGAAAAAGGAGGAAGGAGGGAAAAGGGAATTCTAAGGCCATATTTAGTGTATCCGTGGCATGATCCGGGACAGCCTGGATCTCATCTGAGCAGAGTGCAATTATCCTGTAAGGAAAGTTACCAGGAATTTGCTAAACAATGTCAGTTCTTGCTGATAAGGTTTCTAGATAATTATTTCATTTAAGAAAAGAATGCTAAAAAGGCATAGAAATAGACGCGATCACTTTATAAAACACCCCAAAACAGCTTTAAAAATACATACATGTTTTATCAAATCTTATCAAGAATTTTTTAGCCACACCTTTAGCACTAAATTGGCTCACAGGATACGTTTCCCTTGGGCAGAACGGCTTTTGGCCCAGAGAACACTTTGTTCTTGGCCAAAGGGGTTGGTTAGTCTGAGCAGGCATTGCTCACCTACACAGAGAAGCCTGGTCCCCTTCCACGTCTGAGTCTCTGTTTCCTCATTTATAAAAGTAGAAATAGTAAGACCGACTGTTTGTCTTTCCCCGCTCCCTATTCTCTTTTTTTTCCCCTTCCATTCTTTCTTTCCTTTCTTAACACAATTTACCATGGGAAAATCACTCATTCATTCATTTATTAATTAATTCATTCGGAGACATGTAGAAGCCCAGCACTGTGCTTGAAGCTACAGAGATTTCAAAAGAAACTATAAGATCAATCCCTGCCCCCATGCTTACAGTCTCCCTGGGAAAATAGGGCTGAAACATAAGACAATCAGAAGGCGTCAGTTAATAGGAGGCCAAGAAATCCACCAACAGTCACTGTTGCCGGCATTCAGAGATGGGAGGGCACAGCAGGGCTGGAGCAGGGGCCAGGCTCCAGGAGGAAGGCCTAGCCAGGACTGGGCCCTTAGAGGCTGTGGGGTGGGCCTGTGGTTTGGAGCTGGAAGGCCTGGGTTTTAGCCTCCCTGGGAAGCCTGTGTGGACCTCGGTTAAGCCATTTTCCACTCTGACTGTTGGATCCTTCTGTAGGAGTCAGCACTTTTGGTCCACGTCTGTGTTGCAGGGTGTGTGGGGGTCTTAAAGAAGACAGCATGCCTTGAGCAGTTGTACAGATGCTTGTTCAGCTGTGATCTGGGACAGGCTCCTGAAACAGCCCAAGACTCATCTATTTAATGGGCTACTGGTGATACCAATCGCATGCGGTTGTGTGAGGACTGAATAAGAGAATGCACAGAGACAGATCAGTGTGGGGGCCGGTGGGTACTAAATGCTCATTGAATAATGGTTGCTACCATCAGCCTGGTTATTGATAGGGCTGTGTGAAAAGAGCTCCGATTCAGGCCACCAGAAGGAAGGGCTTCTCCATTTCTCAACCAGGGCTGGGGAAGGCATACCCTCCTAGATGTCATCATGGGCAGGTGTCCAATTAACTGACCTCTAGGCATTGTGGCTAGAACTTAGACTCTACAGCCTGGACAGACTTCCTGGCAAGGGAAAGAGTTGGGAAGTGTCCATCAGGGCTCTGCAGTATCTAGGGTGACGAGCTGCTCCATTTTGCCCAGGACTGAGGGTTCCCTGGCATATGAAACTTTTAGAACTAAAACCAGAAAATTCCTGGGGAAACCAGGAAAATTGGTCACCCTAGTCATATTTTCTGGGCCAATTCAAGAGCCTTCTGTGTCTCCCTGGCTGCAAGACCCCTGCCTTCCTGCAACAACCAAGCTTACTCTTCCACCTCCTGGGAGCTTCCCGGAGACCTCCTCTACTCCCTCGGGCCCATAAAAGAAGTCAAAGTTGGAGAAAGTCAAGATGGTGGCTGAACTCCCACGCCTGCTTAATGCGGAGGCTGAGGTCTGGGCTCAGATGACAGGTCCCTTTGAAGAACTGACGGGGACTGAGTCTTCCCAGTGATGCGGGGTGGTGGAGGTGAGACTTGACATAGCAGCCGGGCTCCTATTTTATGAGGCTGGTAAATTTTCACAGAAAACTAAATCAGAGGTTAATGAGGGGTTTTAATAGAAAGTGGTGTTAACTTTAACAAGGAGAAAACACTGTGTGAAGGCCAACCAACGCCCACTGGGGTAGAGATATAAATCTGGAGTAAGGAGCTGCTTTTCTGCTTTGGGGTAACTGGTCTTAGAGATCTATCAATTGCCTCTGAGTTGCTGGGGCCATGGCTTCCAAACGCCTCAAGGCTGGCTTCTCTTCTGGGTCTCTCAAGAGCCCAGGAGGGGCCAGTGGGGGCTCCACTCCTGTGTCCGCAATGTATTCCAGCAGCTCTTGCAAGCTCCCGAGTCTCTCCCGTGGGGCCCGAAATTTCTCTGCCTGCTCAGCGGGACTGGGCAGAAGCAGCTACAGGGCTGCCAGCTGCCTCCCTACTGTCTGCCTCCCTGCCGGAGGCTTTGCCACCAGCTACAGCGTGGGTGGGGGCTGGTTTGGGGAGGGCATCCTCACT